ATTACCATAATCTCTCTGTTTACAGTAATCGGATTATTTTGTGCATGTAAACACACCATGTGTTCTCTGCATCTCAGATCTGGGACACAGCAGGTCAGGAGAGGTTCCAGTCCTTAGGCGTAGCGTTCTACCGCGGAGCAGACTGCTGCGTCCTGGTGTTTGACGTGACAGCACCCAACACCTTCAAGACTCTAGACAGCTGGAGGGACGAGTTCTTGATCCAAGCCAGCCCTCGAGACCCGGAGAATTTCCCCTTTGTGGTGCTGGGCAACAAGATTGACTTGGAGAACAGACAGGTGGGTCCAATAATCGCATTTCTTTTTGCCAGGGGTGCTGCTATGTGCGCCATTTGTTTTTTTTTGTTTTTCACGCAAATCTACAGATGTGTGTTGGTAATTTTCGAGGCCATAAAATGTTGTTTAGACTGTAGAGTAATAGAATAATTCAAAAAGTCTAACATCAGCTCCTTTGTGTCTCAGGTAACAACCAAGCGAGCACAGGCTTGGTGTCAGAGCAAGAACAACATCCCATATTTCGAAACCAGCGCCAAGGAGGCAATCAACGTGGAGCAGGCCTTCCAGACTATTGCACGCAACGCCCTTAAACAGGTAACGGAGGCCAGTGAGAAACGCTAGCCTGTAATCCTAGTGTGTCTGTGAAAGCTGCGAGATGCAGAGCCGGGCTCTCGCTCAACTCTGCTGTCTGATTTCAGGAGACCGAAGTGGAGCTGTACAACGAGTTCCCCGAGCCCATAAAGCTGGACAGGAACGAGCGAGCCAAGCCGTCAGCAGAGACCTGCAGCTGCTGAGGACGCTGAAGATCTTCTGGGAGGGGGTTGTCACTGCTCTCCCTACCCTGTCTTGCCTTGTCTATATATCCCTTTTTCCCATGGCCCACTGTGTTGATCCCTAATGCCCAACATACAGGCAGCATCCCACTCATAGAGTATACTACTACACAGACAAACATGCTGCACTCACCTCCTTATGTATACAAAACACACATTTTCTATAAAATATGAGTCTCCTAGCCCAAAGAACACCTTATGGAAACATCATGGAATTTACTTGTATGATGCTTATTACTTCCCAGTGTTTCCCCTCGTACTTTTTCATGGCAGTGGTGGTTTGGGCTAATCCCATTTTCGGTTCCACGTATATCGCTGCTTTCACACCCAGTTTTGGTTCTAACTGCTTTTATTTGGATACTTTAAGTGGTAAATCAAAGCATTATCGCTATACATGTTTGTGTTGATAAGTAAAGTTAGAAAACTAATGTTTTTTTTGTTTGTTTTTTTTAAATCAAAGGTTCTTTAGCAGTGGTGGTTGTTTTCTTACTTTCACAGCCCGCCACTGCTGCATGAATAGAGGAAACACTGCCCCCCACCCCCACCCCCATTTTACTCATTTGTGTTGTGGCTTAAAATTTGTTTCACTCTCAAAAACACTTGTCACCATGTCACCATGGTTTCACTTGACCTCATGCAACCTTAAAAAGAAAACTCTGATACCTAAACAGGGAGTCAGAACTGAAGGATCAGGATACGCGAAGGTGCATGTGGGGATCACATTAATATGCTGCCTGCTGATTCTCGTTAATTGGCACAGGAAGAAGTCCATCAAACAATTGTGTACAGATCTTTTTGTTTTTTGTCATTTACAGTAAAGAAAGACTTGTTCAGACATCTCATTTTGGAGCCACAATAAATGCAATTGTAGCTCAGGTTGAGGACGTAGTGTGAATCCAGACTCGGCTCCTTGATGTAAGTGCTGTCCCTATCACGGTATCTGCTGTTCCTCTATCGGGGTAAAGAAGTTCCGTCTTGTAGTCAGTTATTCTTGGTAAAACATTTGATGTGGGAATAAACCAAATCAAGACAGCATGTCATCCTACATGATAGTCCTGGAAAGGAGATATTTTTCTCAAGTATAAATATCATTCATAACTGAGTACTATTAGCTAGTACATTTCTTTTTACTGTCAATTATTGCAAGACTTTGTATATTTGCAGACCTCTCAGTCGTTGTGTGGGGAAGGCAAAAAGTTGTGTTGTAAATCTCCATATCTGACTCTGCCAGTTGCTCGTGTTGGCAAACAGTTTAAGTGCTTGACATTTCTTTTAACCGATCAGATCTTTAACTGTCTGTTCGTATTATGTTAAAACTTTGAAATGCATTATAGATTACAAGATAGCATACATACTGTAACTTTGAAAGAAGAAAAAAAAATGTGAGGGGAAGTATTGGCATTCATCATTATTATATTATTAATATGATAAATGCATAGCATCTACATTGTTTCAAAAATGTCTTTGCAGTTCAAGTAATAAGGGTAATAAAACATCTTGAATAAAGCATATTGTTTATTTCCGACATTTATTGACAACATTTTGAAATGAAATAGTATCTGTGGAGCATTTTTATTCCATACAAAAACCAAAAATGTCAACATGAATCTTTCTCATACCCGTCCAAATAGTAACATGGAATTGAGGCCTAAATGGTCTTGCTTTCAGTCCCAGTTCATATCTTCATTTGGTTCTAGCTTTCTTATTGGCTCCCTGAAGCCACTGCTGAACAGCTCCGGTACGCTTGCACTGAGCCTTGGTTTTTCGCTCTTTACTCTCACTTGTGTCGGGCTCCTTCCTCTTTGAAGGTGCACTGCTCGTCAGCCAGCTCTTCATCATCTTACTGCTGGCTGTGGGCTTGGGCTCCTAGGGGTCAAGGGTCAGATTTGTCAGTTTCAACATCTCTACTGGCCTGATAACTGATGAGTGAGTAAAATCAATCTGATACCTTTTTGCTGTTAGGATCCACGGGTTGAAGGCACTCTGGAGAGTTGTTGCGTGAGTTGTTCACTACTGAAGAGACAGGATGAAAAGTCAAGATGTCTTTAGACTGGAGCAGTTCCAAGGCATCTAGAGACTTCACCTCCCCAAAATTAAGCCATCTTCTCACTTCTTTCTCTCCATCCAGGATGGCTGGCATCCTAAAAACACAACCACAGAGTACATTTAGGATTTCATACAGACACGGAAAAAAAAAAGAGCTTGTTTATTAATTACTATGCTTACCTATCATGGATGCTTTGCAGGCCAGGGGAAGCTTTCACAGTGATTACACTGTATGTGTAAAGAGGTTCTCCACCACCTGGAGGTGTCCAGCAGTCAAACAGTCCAGCCATAGTCAGCAACTTCCATCCAGTCCACTCACCTTCTGCTTGTCCCTGGCCAACACACAGCATATAGCAGAGGTTAGAGGAGTATGGCCACAGTGCCTTTTAAATAGTCAACATTAGCAGATTTTATGAAAGAAATGGGATGGATTTTGTTGTCATCATTTTTTACAGTTCTTAGCTAAAGCGAGTTTGAATGTAACATGAAATGGCAAAAGAAACACCTGGTGGACACATGCACATTTTTGCTTTGACTCATCTCCCACATATTTTCAGCAGTGGTTATTTCCGCCCCAGCTGCAGTCTCTGAACTTCTGTTCTGGATGAAAGCACGTTTGCGGTGCTTATATTGCCACAGAAAACCCAATACGAACCTCTGTCAAGGGCTCCACTGCAGGGCACAGTGAATTCTCTTTATTGCGAGCGGAGGTCGCGGAGCCATCCTGATCCTGACTAGGTCCCTGAGTCTGAGGGAAGTATATGAAGAAAGGCTGCTTGCCTTTTTCTTCCCTCCTCCACTCATAGAAACCATCAGCCAGGATGACGCAGCGCTGTCCTTTAATCAGGGGGTCCTTTGGGGAGACCACATGTGATTAGACTGTGTGCATACACCGAGAGCGAGACATAAAACAGGAAATATAATGTGGCTTAGCAGTGCCTCAAAGTGCATGCACCTTGTAAGATTTCTTCTGCAGTATACTCTCACTGCGGCAGTTGCTGGTGCTGAATTGCATCTTGCTCGGGTCACTTTCCTTGAACCAGCCAGGTACCAGGCCCCAGCGCATTGAGGCCAACACACACTCATCCACAGGTGCATTCTGCAGACATGCAAGGAGTGAACACAAAAACATGAACACTTGCACTATATAATGCCATCCAATGCAATAACCCTGCAGTACGTACAACATGTTTGAGCCCCATAGTGTTGAGACAGTGTGTGACATATGTGACATAGTGACTTAATTCTTTAAACTCAAAGTTTGTGGTGTTGTTGCACTAAATGTAACTGTACAGAGACGGTGGTTCTTACCTTATCAAAATGCCTCTGGGACAGCAGGACGGGGTTCATAGACTGGGGGCTCTTGTTGTACGAGGGTCGGTATTTGTCGGCGTCTCCGTCCCTCCAGCGGGGCTGTCTCCGCCGCCCCCCTCGGTTTCTGTAGGAGCAGGCTCGGCTCACCTCGTCGGGAGCAAGAGTACACGCAGTTCTCCCACACATTTTACGCCTAAAACGGAACTTTTCAGCCACCTGAGAGAGAGGTTCAACACAGGCGAAGCTAAGTACGTTAACGTTATCAACACTTCTACACTGCTAGCATGTTAGCTCAAGTTATTTTAAAGAAACAAACATTTATTTTTCACTGGCTATAAAGGAACCAGTGACATTGCTCTTACCTGTCTCAGAGTGTTATGGTATAGCTTTATGTCCGGTACCGCTGCACCTATAAAGTGTGTAATGGTGTGTGTGTGTGTGTGTGTGTGTGGAGCGGGGATTTGTCTGTGCACACCAAGCCACCGCTTACGTCATACGATGACGTAGAGCAGCCCCTCCCCCCGTGCCGTCCGGAGCCAAGATGGCGACTGAACGGGGAGAAATATTAATTAGAAGAATAATTCAAATATTCCATAACAGTTAATTAATAAATTGTTATTTCAATCTTAATATACCAGTGAACGTTGCATTGCCACAATGTGCAATTAAAGTCCCGTATTATATATAAGTACTCTACAGCAGAGTGTAACGTTAGATGTCAAAACAACGTTACATTACGACTTTAATGTATTCCATAAATTAACGTTAAGATCATCTTCAACAGGAAGTGGAATACATCCACAGACACGTACCGGATAAACAAACGGAATAATTTTTTTAAATTGTATTTAATATGTCAAAATAAACAACGCCATGGTCATTTATACATTTTAAGGTTTTATTTACTTTTGTAATAGATAACGATTAAAACTCTCACTAAATAAACTCCGGTGTTGGTGTCAGCCTCGTCAACTCTCCAGAGGTTGCCATGGTAACAGTAAACAGGTAGAGAGTCGGGCGCACCGTGGGTTCCTCCGGTGAAACTCAACCGGCACCGGAGTTACTGTAATACACCTGTTAGACCTCGGCAGGTAAGATGAACAATCACTCACTTAGACCAGCATGTGGAAGCGTTGCTTTACTTTAACATAATATCAAAGTGCAGGAGACTGCAGTTAGTGGTGTTAGTTATGTGTTAGTTGGAGACTTTACAGTAAGTAAGTTTTAAAAAGAGACAATGGGAGGGCTGTGGTTGCTTTTAGAGAGGGTGTGATGCTAGTTCACTTTTAAAAACTGTAACTTGTGGTGACTTCTTGGAAATAATTTTTTTTTTTCCTGTTTGCTGTGCACAGGCTGATATAGTAAAAGTAAGATTTAATAAGCATTTCTGTTGTTGGGATATGTGTGTGGTTTTGGGTCTCTGTTCAACAGGTGACTGAAGGAAATCAGACTGAGTATCACACCCTGCCTGGGGTGTTAGGTACAACCCTGACAGGTGTAGCCAAGCTGTCTCCTGCACAGCAATTTGACCCACTTTATAGTCCACTGCACTTGGAGAGTCTGATCCACAGTTAGCCAGAGCGGTGTGACGCCTGCAGGGTTTTAATCATTGTATATGTACACATTATTAGTGCACACTCTTACACTGTGGGATTGTTGCCCCGTACGTGCTAAAGTGTGTGTCTTCTGCAGCAGTTTGTGTCTGACCATGCCATGAAGCAGAGAAAATGTTCCCCTGAAGAAGAAAGCTGATGGTATTATGGAGGCCACCAGGTCCAGACAGTCTGTCCAGCAGGGCCAGGACAGACACCAGGCACCATGCCCAGACAGTGGTGAGAGACACAGGAAACACTGTCTGAACAAAAAACTGGAAATCACTTAGATGTGTTTTAAAGTGTTAATCAGAGGGTGGAACCACCTTCTTCTCTCAAATTCGTTGACACAAGCCTTTATTTCCAATTGTGACCAGATGAGAAAGACACAATGCTTATTTCTCAACATGTCAATATTATTTTATGACTTTATATTGTCAGAAAATTACAGATTGGGCCTTCAATAATAGTTAATTAATAATAGGTTGTAACTTGCTGCTGAGGGAACCATTTCTACTCTGAAATATGAAAGGTCTGTACTGTATCACTTCACACCTCCAGAGGACATGGCCTTTGCATTCATAGAGTCAGCTTATAGATCGCGAATGCTGAATTAATCATGAGGTCAGGCTCAGGACAGGTGGCCAAATGTTTGAACTCAGAGGCCGTGTATTAAAGTTTCATGACTTTGCTCTTTTTGGGTTTGAGCTGAAGATGTCAAGCCTTAAGCTTTAGATATAGTGTCCCTGTCATGGTACCTTCTGTGTTATATTTGGTCACCTGGTTTATTCAGGTACATATCTTACTCATCATCATTGTGGACATTTTGAATAGGTAGTATATTACAGCTGTAAAAAAAAAACTCCCCTCCTTCATGCAGTGAATGTGCTGCTATGTGTTGGTGTGTTATGCCACTGAACAAAGCAATCTCATTTTTATTACATCAAGCTTACAACATGCTCTTTCTCCCATTGGGTTTAAACATGCTTTTGGTAGGAACTTGGGTCGGATGTGTGATGACCCATTTTACTGATGTACGATGTATGACAGTGCTCCTGATGTTACTGCAGGACAAACAGCAGGCCCCTCCAAGCATCAGAAGGTCACAGCTGTGGGCCAGCAACGCAACCAAGATGAGGGGAAAAGCCTGCAAGCAAGTAGGTATCCCCTGTTAGTCGACAACCAACACTCTTGCAACATTAACTCTTACAGCGACAGTTTGTGTGTGTGTGTGTGTGTGTGTGGTGTGTGTGTGTGTGTGTGTGTGTGTGTCAGCTACACCTCCTGAGGGCAAAGTTCGCCGCAGTTTTGTCAGCCTACCTGTTCTTAACCCAGAGAGACTGAGGGTAGCCAAAGCCTTTGCTGACAAAGCTGTCAGGGTGAGTTACATTACTATTATTTTGTTGTTATTGTTATTATTTAAAACTTTCCATGGTTATATTAATCTCTAACTGTTCCAAGAAGTTGTCCATCACTTCTGTGTCTCGTGTCTGCCCGCTCAGATGCATAAGGTATTCTCCGTCCAAGGCCCGTACCCTGTCATCAGGGCAGGATTGAGGGCCAGAGGCTGGATTGAGCAGCATACGCAACGCTCAAAGCACCAAGCCCAGCGTCGTCACAGCGATGAGGCCAGGGCCACCTCTAATAATGCTGGTGACAGCGATGACAATGATGGTGAGCTAGATGAAAGTGTATTGCTGCTATTTCTTGGTGTGGATATCTGTCTTTATCCCATCATTTATTAATATTGCTCCCTCTTCTCAGACAATGAAGAGCAGGACGCAGACGGACTATATGATCTCATGGTAAAAATTACATTTCAAGGTTGTGGGCTATCATGAGGCTAAGGTGAACAGCAACTTAAAGGTTGTTACCCATGATGGAAATTTAAGGTTCATAGTGGCAAAATTCAGCAGATTCCCAGATTCTCCTCTCCTCTCTCTCATACAGTCTCGCCTGGTGCGGAATGAAATGGTTTATTTCTACTGGACCAATCGTAGAGACGCCATCAACAACAACAGCCTGCAGAAAGAACAGATTACCAATCATTTCGCAAAAGCAGGCAGTTTCACCACCAAGGTACATTTATATGCTTTTCTTTCAGTTCTTAGAGAAAAACAATCCTTTTCAGTGGTCTCCTGTCAATATTTGTCCTTATTTTGTCAGGTGGGGTTGTGTTTGAACCTGAGGAACCTGCACTGGTTTGATTCAGCCGACCCAGAAACCTTCTTCCCCCGCTGTTACAGACTAGGAGCACAGGATGAGAAGCAAGCTTTCATCGGTCAGATGTGACATTACGGCCCATCAACCTAGATTAGCTACTTCAAATGTATTTCCAGCAACCTTTCCAAGTTTAGAATACTTGTCTCTCTGTCTTTGCCCTCTGTGTAGAGGACTACAGGAGGACAGCCTGCACCAGTCTCTTGAAGTACATTGTGGAGAGGGAGCAGGGTGTTCAGGGAGAGGGAATGAGCCACAACATTCAGGGTATGAACATCTCTCACATGACTGTGTAGTCTCTCAGTGTAGCTAAATAAATAAAGTAATCACTGTTTTGCTCCACCATTAGATCAGAGAAAACGAAGAAAACGGCGGTCTACACCAGTGGAGCTTTCCAAAATGATGGACAGCGCACTCAAAGTATGCCAGAAGTACCTGGAGAGTATAGAGCACAAAGACATAGACACAAGCTTGGAGACACCACAAACACTTACAAAGGAGGAGTGGGCAGAGTTCATTGACAGTTACAACCTCGTTGTTCAGTGAGTACAGTGTGTGCGTGTAAATGGTAAAGGGAAACTGGCAAACTAAAGTGCTCTTCAGTATCTCACACTCAGTCTCTGTGTTTCCTCGCTCAGTGGCGGAGCAGAAATCGAGAACAGTGATCAGTTTGTGACATGCTGCAAAGCCATGCTGCAGAAGCTGGTGGAGGTCAGTCCACAGCTGGACATAGACGGCATACACAACATATGGATCATCAAACCCGGAGCTATGTCCAGGGGCAGAGGTGAGAAGTCAGACACTATCAGACACTTCACATAATACCTGCCATAGTCCTGGCTGACCCTCTACACCTGCCCTCCAGGAATCAAATGCGCCAAGCGTCTGGATCAGATCCTCAGGCTGGTGGAGTCTGATCCAACCTTGATCACGGAAAGCAAGTGGGTGGTGCAGAAGTACCTGGAGTGCCCCTTGCTCATCCATGGCACCAAATTTGACCTGCGCCAGTGGTTCCTGGTGACTGACTGGAACCCTCTGACTGTGTGGTTCTATAAGAAGTGCTACTTGCGCTTTTCTACGCAGCCTTACTCGCTTGATACACTGGACAGGTAAGACAGTGATACTAATAAAGGGATGGGCCAAAGATTTAAGGCAGAAGCAGATGTGAAACCAGTTGAATGTTAAATTTAAAAAGGGGAACTGAGAGAAAGATACAGAGTAAAAAAAAAGGCAGCACTGTGGGAGGTTATGCTTGTCACTTTTGGCGGGAGATCTGCTTTTGAAAAAGCTGCTATCCTCTGGGTATATTCAAAACGCTATGTATTCGTTGTCTTTGAAATTAGCAACATTCAAATGGACCCAAAACTGCCAACTGCCTCTAAAACACCTGCCCACTATCAGTATATACAAGATTGCCTCTACCTCCACCAAAGTTGCACAAATTATAAATATCAAATGAAAAATGTGTCAAATGAATACTGTAAAAATAACTAAAGGGGTCTGATCACATGGTTAATATTACCATAGTCAGATGGTTTGAAGACAAACTGGAGAGAAGTAGTTGTAACAGACATGACGACATCTCATCATGTCTCATTATACTTCTGTCCATTTCCACTTATTTCTCTTTCCAATCTATCTCTTAACCCCGTCCTTTCAGCTCTGTCCACCTGTGCAATAACTCCATCCAGAAGCACCTGAAGCCCTCCAAACAGCGCCATCGAGGTATCCCTGCAGACAACATGTGGTCGGATGACCAGTTCAAGAGCTTTCTGTCCAGCCAGGGCCGGGAAGCTCAGTGGCACACTGTGGTAGTCCCGGGGATGAAGAAGGCAGTGATCCACGCATTACAGACAACACAGGATCTGATGGAGTCACGCAAAAACACATTTGAGCTCTACGGTGCCGACTTCATGTTAGGTAGAATGCAATCACTGTGAAGTACATGTTACGTTATATGTTATACAGCCTGTTTCGACATGGATCATTTTATATTTTAAAACTGCTTTATATTGATTTTTATCTACCTTTACTATGAAAACAAAAGGTTCATCACCACTTAGATACTTTGGTATGTGTTTCTTAGGACGAAACCTGCTTCCATGGCTGATAGAAATCAATGCCAGTCCCACAATGGCTCACTCCACCCCTGTGACAGCCCGCCTCTGCACTGCTGTGCAGGAAGACACACTACGGGTCGTCCTGGACCGGAGAGCAGACCGCACAGCAAACACTGGAGACTTTCAGCTCATATATAAGCAGGTAAGGAAGAGTTTCCCCTCCTCTTCAGGTTATAGTGTACATTAAAGTGAGCAAAATTGTGAGGGTGATACAGAACACTTTAGATGTCCCTTTTGGTCTCCAGGCAGCAGTAGAAGTGCCACAGTATGTAGGAGTCAACCTACTTGTTGAGGGCTTCAAGATCAAATGCCCCTGTCCCCTTCCTCCACTGGGGTCCCCCACCCGTTCAGCACAGAAACCCCGGGGTCCCGTCAAGGAGAAGGAACCAGCTGCAGATAAAGTGAAGCCTCTACCTAAGGTGTTGTTAAAGAGTGCTGAGTCTTTGCTCAAAAATTTTTATGTTCCATCACCTCCTCTTCTTCCTCCTGAGCCGCCGCCTGTGCCTGTCTCTATCGAAACCTTCATACCTCTCCTGCCAATGACTGTGAAGTCCATCCATCTGCCCTTCAGTGCACAGCCTCAGTCTGTAATTTTGTGGAAGAGGAGATCAAAGGAAACAAAAGTCTGCCCAGAGGAAGTCCAACCCTGTACCACAGAGAAGCACCAAGGTCCTTCTCTGGAGATTACTGTTCAAAAACAGTCCTTGCCAGCAGCCGCCAGCACCATGAGTGCCTAAAAAACTTTCAAAAGAAGGTTTATTGACCAAATCATTAACATGCTCCTTCAGTTTGAACTCTCTGTTTGCAGGGTTGTCTGCCTACTTCAATATAAAGTCAGAACTGAACAAATTCCCATGTCTAGTTTTTCACATTTTTTTTAGATTCGGTCATCTGATTTAATACAACAGTGCCCCTCTTATTCTTTTTAACAAAATTCTGTTCACCTCCACTGCGCTGAAGTCAAACATCTAGGTAAATAAAAACAAGCTAATTACAGTTTGATACATCAGGGGTAAGTGAGACAATGTGTTTTGTTGTAATCGGGTGGGCCTTATTAAAGCAAAATGCTTTTACTTCAGCAGCTGCCAGTATTTACGCACAAAATTGTTTACACTATAAGGTAAATCACCAAGGATTGTCAAGTTTCTGCATGTCTGTTGTGGAAATGAGAGCATGGATTAATTCCAGTTAAGAGACAGAGAGAGATAAGGAAGGTCAGCCAAATGTAGAAAGAAATGAGATATGTGTCAAACTCAAAACAGTGTCAACACCAAATAAGTGTGTGGTTATTGTAGGGAGTTCATTAAGCAATGAATCCAAGAATGAGAAAATGACTGAAACTGAAGTATCCCGTCACTTAGAGGACGCAGGGATGTTAGAGCAGTATGACATGAGATGATTCTGGATAAAACTACTGCCTTAAGTTTAAAAACACAAAATGTATGTACACTCAAGAAATCTAGTCTTGGAAGTGATAATTTATTATCGGTCACAGCTCATGTTGAAGTTGAGAGGAATCAAAGAGTCACTACAAATCAAAGGAGCCTGATATAAAGCGACAGTACGGTCTCTGGGAATACTCCCAATGAACAGATGGTGGCGATAGTGTCCAGCTGAACAGACAGTACACATGTTCATATGACGGCGAAGAAGAAAGGACACACGACAGCCAGAGCCTCCTGCACCTCCTGTAACCGGACTGAGAAATGGCGGCGTCAGTGTGCCGAGTCGGAAGCACCGTGGGTCGAGCCCTTGCCAAGAACCGCAGTGTAAGTACAACTTTAAAGGCTAAGCACATTAGCGTTTAGTAACACGAGAAGCCCAACGGGACACCGGCAGTCCTCTCGCCCTGGAGTAAAGCTCAAAGTAGTCGAAGAGCAATGCCCGCTTGCTAAGGTAACAGGCTAACTAGCGAGCTAACTGGGCTACCCGCGGTGGGAAGGGGGGACGCTAACCGGTTAGCATCAGTTAGCAAGCAGTGAATACAAGGTCACCTGTCAAATGTGGCAGTGTGTCCTGTAACAACCACTCCATGTGTAAAGTCCACTTTATATACGTGTTACTGGGATGAGCTGGTCGTCGTCGGGTCGTGGTCGGGTCGTTCACAAGGTCAGCAGCTGTCCTCACTGTCCTCACACCGCCGATAGCTCCCTGATAGCAGCGTTAGCATGGTGACTTTGGATAGACTGAGTGCAGAGAGGAGGCTCCTATACTGTTCTCGTCTAAATGTTGGATTGTTGGTCACCTACTTTTATACCAGGTTGAACATGAAGACTGTAGTGATGTGGGAAACAGGGCGCAGCTGCGTCTAATGTTATTTCTACGTTAGCTTTAGCGTTAGCTGTGTTTCTAGATTTAGTTATATTTTGTTATGATTGCACATACATTTGTGCATTTGTACTAAACACAGATTCTCATCTTAGGTGGTTCTTATAAATAGCTATAATTTAAAAAAATGTCGAAAATACCATCTGAATATTAAAATACTTCTATATTGACATCCTATTGTTTACAGTCCAATGTGAAGGGTATGCTCGATAATGTGACATGTTTACATCTGAATATAACTCGTATATACTGATATTATCTTCTGGCTGTGTCTATTTTTAGTCTTTTCTTTAGTGCTTATCAGAATATGGCAGTGGTGTCAATCTTTGTCAGCCTCAAGTTTAGATGTTTCATGACAAACATTTCTACTCTTGACTTTGCATGTGAATGGATCTGCCTGAAGTGTTCAGTGCAGTGGACTCTGTCATAAGACTCATGTTACCTGTTGACTGCGTTCACGTTGCCTCTGCTCCTTCCCTCCCCCCAAATTTTAAATCTGCATTACAGATCTGCCAGATTATGTGCAGTACTAAATAGTCAACTTTCTAAAAAGCCCTATTTTGTACTTTGAGACATCCTGCTAACTAACAAACTTCCTATTAGCTTCCGTAGTATTCGAGCCAGTCAGCAAGCTATAGCGAGGCGTAATGTTAGAGTACTGTTTGTGAAAATGGAGGTGTGTGCAAACTGTTTCTCAATAACATCTCTTAGGCTTTCTTACTATGGAGGATGGGAATATGTAAAAGTGGTTTTCCAATGGGAATAGAAATCCCTGCTGGTGTAACAGCATTTGTACAGGATTGTTAAATGACTCTTGGTGTCTATGCCCTTCCAGCCCATCCTGCTGTCTCTGAGGCGGGGACAGGCCTCAGTCAGCTATGCCCAGAGCCTGGTGGGAGCCCCTGAAACTCGCCTCACTACACTGGACAATGGTTTGAGGGTTGCATCTGAGGAGACCGGACATGCCACATGCACTGTAAGAACACAGTAATAGGGGGAGCTATTTACAACCACGTAGCAGGTTGTTATGGCACTTTATAGACTCACCATTTCACTGTCACTGAATAGTATGTGATAAATGAGAGTTGTAGTTTAACATTTCCCCCATTCTTCACGTATGCCTTCCCTGTCATAGGTTGGACTGTGGATCGGTGTCGGCAGTCGCTATGAGAGTGAGAAGAATAACGGAGCAGGCTTCTTCCTGGAGCACATGGCTTTCAAGGTAATCTTTATGACCTTGAAGGTACCCTGTGCACTTTTCCTGTAAACAAATCATTCTTATGTTTAGATTTAATGTTTCTCACTATAACACATTGTGTGAATCCTTGAGCTTATTTTTCTTAAAGGCTTATAAATCTACATTGTTAATGTTTACTAACTAGCAGACTTCTTCTTGCCTGCCTTTATTGGGTCAGTACTATCATCTGTAGATAGGGCTGCAGCTATTGAATATTTTGGTAATCGAGTATTCTATATTCCATCGAGTAATCGGATAAAACATACTTTTGCTTAATTAAAGCCCAATTATAAATATACAATAGAAAACA